CTTGATACGTAAAGTTTGAGTCTGTCATTTATAATACAGCGCTTTTCTCAGCTTACATGGACGCGGTAAAGAGTTACTTTGTTTCTTTTGTTTGGGTGGAGGTGTTGTTGCTGAAGGCTGCTACTTAGGTTACTATACAACGTTTTGGAAGAGTCTGATGCAGAATAGATCTCAGTTTTTGCCTAAAATTGGGGGGGGGGTTGGGGGGTTGTTTTGAACACTTTTTTGATTTGTGATATTTTATTTAGTGTTCTAGTAACGTGCTTCAGTCCAGCTTTGATTGATTTCTTTGACTAGTTGAAATTTTTTTTTGTGGACCTAATGGATTTTTTAGAATTACTGAATTTTTTTTGGTGTTGTCTTACTAAGGGGACTTAAATATGGTGTTGTTACTCACTTGAGGTTTGAATTTTTAGCGACACTTCACTCTTGCTGGTTGATTTTTTTTTGGATTGATTTGAATTACAGTGAAATATTTTTGACTTGATATGGTTTAACGTAATGACTATTGTGTATTTGTTTAGGTATTGCAGTTTAAATTTTTTTTAAGTATCACTGATCTCATTGCTCATTTGAATTATGTACGAAATTTTTACAGTTTAATTGTATTTTCATTTTATGTGTATATGTGTATCTTGGTAGTATTTGTAAATTATTGGCCAAACGTTATTTTGTATATGCATTAGGTTGTATTAGTATTATTTTTGTGTGTTTTGGATAAAATTCTAATTGGTATTTGCACAGCGTATTCGTTATGTTCATTCTCGGAATTGATTTTGGTTGGATTGAATTTTTGGACAATCACGTTTTCTTTCTTTCTGATTTTTTTGTGTGGGGTATTTTCGGCTGGTTCCGAGGTTCCTTGTGTTGTAACGTTCTTTTCTTTTCTAATGCTTGGCCCTGATCAGGCCGCTTCTGTTCTTAGACGTGATTGTTTGGGATTCAATCTTGGAAGTTATTCAATTTCGTAGTACTTAGGGGTCTTTACTCCTTATTTGAATACGTTCATGTGACATATTTTATCTGGAATTGTTTGAATTATTAGTGTGTTTATTTTCTCAGGAATTTGAATTATTAGTGTGTTTATTTTCTCAGTCATTTAATGTATTTTATGTATCTGCGGCGCGTTAATTATCTTATTTTTATTTATTTTATTTTTTTTTGGTGTGAACAATTGGATTAGATTATTTCTTTCTTCGGGGTGTGAGTATCCGAACACATTCAGTGGCTTATCTATCGTAAGGGAAAAATTGAAAGATAAAGTCTTCTTCAACTTTGAAAGAGTGATTGTTCTTCCTTGGTCGAAGGTGAGACGTAGGAGGGGGGTGAAATCTGGTTTCTTTTAAGGTCAAGTTTCTCTACTAAGGAGTATTGTGGTGCTGAGTTCACATTCCGGGGTTGGTTGCTTTCATTTTCTCGCGTTGAAGGCTGCAGGGGGGAGTTGCTAACACAATGATTTCTAACTACAGGGTTTTCCCTCGCTTGCATTGACAACTCCGTACTCATTTAATGTACTCCATGATTGTGCTCAGCAGAAATTGTCACAATAGTAGAATGTGTTCGACCTCAGGTGAAATTGTTTACATTAATGGACTGAAAAGAAGAATGAATAGATAAATAAACGTTCAGAAATGTGGCCACACAGAGACTGCAACACTAGTGTGATGTAATGAACTGAAAAAAAAAAAAAAGGAGAAATTCTTTTTGTCATAAAATTATTGATTGATCTTAGACATATTTTGTTTGTGATTAACGCCTTATTTTTATTTTTATTTTTGTATGTGTTCTGAATATTTCTAGGTTTAATTAATTAAGTGATTTAATTGATGTTTTTGATTAATTGTTTTTGATGATCTTCCTTGAGTATTTTAATTAGTAATTGCTTTGATTAATCTTGTTGTTTTACTTGCACATTTTGGACTTGAAATTTAATGTGTCAGTAACGTCACTGTTACCAAGGAGTCGTGTGAAATATTGTTACATTATGTTATCCTTTAGCCTTATTGCACACAGTATGAGTCATGGTATTTCAAGAAGAAGTGTCTGTCTGCTAAATTTTGGTAAACCAAAATTTAATTCCTTAGGGGAAAGGAATGTTATGTAGAGAAATTATCTGATAGCGTTATAAAAAACTAGGTGAATGATTTTCTGATTTATGGAAATTTAAATTTTATTTTGATTCTGAATTATTTATTTTAAGGCTTTAATTTTGGGGAAAAACAGATGCTTCTGGAAATATTATTTAGTTTAAATGAATATTATTTATTTTCTTTTATTTGCAAATCTTGTACAAACTTTTATTCATTGTGAAAGAAGCAGGGAAAGGGAGGCAATTTTTGCCAAGTCATGATTTCGCGCGCTTTGTCCTTTAGAATGTTCGAGAAAGAATTTTCATTGTTAGTTGACCTTAAGAGAGGAAAGTACGTGACAGAAAGGTCAAAGGTTGCTACTTGTCTTTCAATGTAAGTCATTCAGGTTTTTGGCGATTGAGGGTCCGGTTGTTGGCTAAGTGAAGAAGGGCGCGCATGCGCGATCACCCTTATTCCGCATTCTGGAGTTGAAAACGAACGAAGATTTTGCCATAATTAAGGGGGCGATAAGTGAAGCCAGAGTGGGAGCCCGCGTTGGTGAAGGAGACGAAGGAAATTCGAGTTGGATTCACTTTTTTGGCTGACTCTCGGACTGACTCGCTGATTTTCGGGCTTGCTGGACAAAATGTAATTACGAAGAGAGATGTTTTCCGGCGGGGAGCGGCAAATATGCTCCCCGGCCGCGTTTTGGTTAAGAGGCGAGACTCTGTTACTTTTTGACTCTCTCACTGCTTAGACGTTGCTCTTGAAAACCGGCTTGAAGGAGATAGATGTAAGTGACTACGAGAGGTGTTTCCCGGCGGGGAGCGGCAAATATGCTCCCCGGCCGCGTTTTGGTTAAGAGGCGAGACTCTCGCACTCACTCTTTGACTCGCGCACTTACTGGTTGGCTGGACTTGTGGATGTTACTCTTGAAAACAGGTTGAAGAAGCGAGAGAGAAGATGTAATTACGAAGAAAAAGGTTTTCCCGGCGGGGAGCGGCAAAAATGCTCCCCGGCCGCGTTTTGGTTAAGAGGACTCTCTTACTGACTCACTGCTTGGACTCGCTGACTTTCGGGTTTGCTGGACTTGTGGACGTTGCTCTTGAAAACTGGCTTGAAGGAAATTCGAGTTGGATTCTCTCTCTTACTGACTGGCGGGTGGAACTTACTTGGGACGTTACTCGTGAAGCTTGCTCTTGGAATGAGTAAGAACAGGCGAGCCGTAATTGCCTAGAAACAACGTTTCTGACCTGAGGCTGAAAACCCTCTTCCTTGCGGCGTGCTGGTAAAGAGGCGAAATTTGAACGAGTTACCTGCGTGTTGACATAGGACTTTCAGGACCAAGCGGATAGCCGTCCTGGGCAGCAGTGCTCCTGTTTCTGTTCTCCAGTGGGAATTGGCGCGACATTTTTAGAACCAGTGTCAAGATGAGCCCGGCCGACATCAACGCTTGATAAGATACGAGTCCTCCACTTCAAGATGTCCCCTGAAGATAAGTTTTATTTTTTTTTTTGGTTTGTTTGAACTTTAGGCAAGTTTTTCAAAAACGTCCTTAGCAGTAAAAACAACGTCGAATCTAAAATTGAACTCTCAGGCTTAAAATTGTTTCCCTTTCCTTTCTTTTAAATTACCAGACAAACCTTAAGTTTTTTTTTTATGAATTTAAATGAAAAGACTCTCAGATGAGGTTAAGATTTTTTCATATTGTGATGTAATTAATTAATAAACTGATATTTAATCTGGAAAACTATTACAGTATGTTTTCTTTATATATTTAATATGAACTTTTCCTTTATATCTTGTATATGTTTATGTTTTCGATCCTCTCACGGCGCGGTCCTCGGGATGCATTTTTTTCACAACGCAAAAATGCTGTACACGTTTCACTATACGATCACTAAAATTTTGTTAGTTGGCAAATTCTTAAGAGTTTGTTTTCCTCCCTAAGAGGAAGTAGAAACCTTTTCACGGCAAGTAGTTTCATATTTAACATTTAACATATAGGAGTTTCAGATATAACATGGTACCTTGAAGTAAAACTATTTAACCTTGGTGGCGAAACTTCTATATAACATTGGTGCCGTGACAGAAACTTAACATAACAGAATTAAATGCTTTAACTTGTTTATGCAAATTGTCTTGCTAAACGCCCAAGAACTTACGTTGTGGCTTTTTGCTAAGAGGGAGAGAGGAGGAGTTTTAGGAAGCAAGCCGCTTGCCACTGAAGTTTTACGAGTTTTCACTCGGTTACTGGTTGCCTTTAAGGCCAGAGCTTTAGCTCTCTTGATATTTGCAAACGTATTGTACTTGTAGTTTCAGCATCTCGGCGTACTACATACGTACCTTTTAAATAAAGGCCAGTCGTAGTGCTAGGCATTTGTATACTAATTCAAAGTTAGCTTTTAGTTAGAGTTTTAGTTAGTAGTTTTATGTTCTTACGTTCAGACCACAAGTGGTTGGTCTCTGTATTCCGAGGTTGGGAAGTGCCTGTAAAGTATTGAAAATAAAGGGTTTCGTATACCCTTCCTGCTTGTGTCGTTTGTTATACACAAATCTTGAACATAGCTTGAGTAAGCTCCCTGTTCTTATTCATGGCATTCCATGTTTCCAAAGCAAATCAAGAGAAACACAAGTCCTGAAAAGTTTCGGTTCCAAATTTGGAATAATTGTTAGCTGAAGCGTTATATAAGTATCTGTGCCATGAGCATTATGCTTGAACCATATGACAAGGATTAATTTCGAAGTGACAACATTTAGAGCGATTTAATACAAGCAGGTTAATATTTTTAGGGCAGAAAGGTTAAATAACTAAATTAAAATGGAAAGATAAAGTATTTACATGTTAAAGTTATTGCAAATTAAATTAAGACTTCTTGATTTATTTATTTTTTATCTTACATATGAATGTAAATGCAAGAAATTTACATAATTGTGTTAAAGCTTTTAAAGTGCAATACTGAAAATACATGAAAATAAATATTACTCACTCTGCTATGATGTGTGCATAAGATTTCAATAATACACTTTTCGTCAGTTCCAATGCCCTGAAACAAAAATCTGGATAAGTAAAATTAAAATTACTTAATTATATTAAAGTTAAATTAGTTATATTAAAGTTCAGTGCTTGAATATTTTATTCTTCTGTTCGCTTTAAATATATCATTTTATGAATGAATTCTTCTTCCGATCGTGTTGATTTATCTTATATAGAACAACTATAGAATAATAAATTTGTACTTTTATACAAATTTGTTAATTTTGCATCAATTAAAGAAAATGATGTATCATTTAATGAAAATTTAATTCTAAAGAAAATGACGATAACTTTATTAATATTTTCCCATTTAAAAAGTTAATGAATACTCTTTGTAGAAAAATGTTTCATTGTACCATATGCGATAAATAAATCTACGAAAGAAGATTTCTTTCTCTGATACGTATGCAGAAATTTCGTTTCTTCTAATTAGGACTTCGAATTTCACTTGCATTTCCTCTTTTTTTTCTTTTTACTAATTTTATCTGTAGAAAATAACAAGAGGAAAATTACATTGTGTACGGTATTTTTGAAGGTGGCTTTAAATAAAGAAAAATGCCCTTTTGTCTACTAATATTGCTGTATTCAGGGTTCGTACACATTTCTGCACAAGGAAATTAAGTACTTTTAAGGACTTTTAAGGACCATTAATGAAAAAATTAAGGACCTATGAGCAAATGGGAACTGAATAAATTCAATTAAAAATATTATCTATGCCTGAATTTAACTTTTGTAATACCATCCCAAAAATAAAATAGATCCCTAAGTAGTATGCATTATTACTAAACATGAATTAATTAACACAATTATTAATGAGTTTGAGAATAAAATAAACTTTATGCAATTTATCAAGTAGCATTAAATATTAAACTTATAATAGTTGGAGATATTTGAAAGAAGATAAGTGACATTTACGTTTTACTAACAGTAGCTTTATGTTGATTTTTTTTATGCCTCATTTAGTCACATACTTGGTCAGTCTACTTGGTTTCGTAAATAGCAGGTAGATTTTGTCAAACGGCATAAGTTAAAATAAGGAGTAAGATCATAATCAGCATGATTCATAATAAGGTGTTGGTGTATTAATTATGGCAAAGCACACTAGGGCTATCTGCCTAAGGGAAGGGATGCCTTCGTGGAGGACTTTCTAAGGGAAACTTGCTCGTATACACGTTACACATGGGGAAAACCACGAAAACACCCATGCAGGCATGCGCGTTCCTTGGGATTCGAACCTCGGAGCGAACTACCAGTATTCAGCGACTTTACCGCTCGACCGCTGGTGGGCTGATTCATAATAAAAGACTGAATGTTGTCACCGCTACTGCTTAATCTAGAGAGAGACCTGCTGATTCGAACAAACCTGAAAGGCCTGATGTAGGCACAGTTGGCAAGTGTTGAAAGTTAGTCATGCTCTTTTTGATGCAGTTAGTGTCGTAGCTTCGTGTAGAGTTAAAGGGGTTGTAACCCCGTTAATATACTTTAAACTTTATGGTTCCAATAAGGCATTAAAGCACCAGAGGAGATAAGTTGTTTTGTATTATTTTAAGTCTCACTAGATGCAAAGAATACGTTTTTTACTTGAATTTTTACATTTTTGCATTTTATCTTGTGACCGCAGTGGATTGGATTGGATTGGATTATTTATGGCAAAGCACACGAGGGCTATCTGCCTAAAGGGAGAGATGCTTTCATAGAGGACTTTCTAAGGGAAACTTGCTCGTATAGACGTTACACATGGGGAAAACCACAAAAATGCCCACGCAGCCAGCCCGTTCGTGGAATTCGAACCTCGGACCGAACTACCAGTGTTCAGCGTCTTTACCGCTCCCCTGCTAGTGGGCCTGACCACAGTGAGTATTAATGAAAGGCAATAACTCGCTTTAACATGTAGAGAAAATTTTTAAGCGTAAACAGTTAGTTATCAATAATTCATTTAGGTAGGTTAATAACCTCAGTCATTATGGATTTACATGGCCACTATTAAATTTTATTTTTTAACAATATTTGTTAAAAAGCCCTATCAAAAGCAAAATCTAATAAAATTTTACAGTTTAAAATGCATGCAATTTATGACATTGATTCTTAAACGATATTAGGATAATTACTACAAAATATAAATGTTTTGTAGCTTTGTAGCTTGTTGTTACAAAACATTTATGTTTTGTAACAACAACAGTCAACAAAATATTTATCGTTTTAATTTGAAGCCTTCCCAGACATTTTGGCTAGTTTATATCGATTTGCTTCTCTTTAAGCAACTTTTCTAACAATTAGAGATTTGTTTCAATATGCAAAAACCAATTCTCTTGATAGTTTCTGCGTGCTTTATCTCCTAACTTGTCAAGCTCTCCACAATGTACCTATGAGGGTTTATTTGATCTGGTAAAAGTTAAATAGTCCAAACCCCTTGACAGACGTAAAGCATATTATTGCTATGTCTGAAAGTAACGGCAATATCAGACAAAAGTTTAAATAAGCCTCTTATTTAAAAAGAACTTCTAAAAAAAAACAGTAAAAGAACAGTAAAATTAAAAAGAACAGTAAAGGCATGTTCTGATGCTAACAAACTCAATTACGGATCACGGTGACGTTATTAAACAAGAACAGTCAAATTCAAACTAAAAATGTGGACTAGTGGTCAAAGATTATACAATTTAGTTTTTATTTAACTCTCTCTCTAAGCGGCAAGGCCGTATATATACGGCCTAGAATATTTTTTGTGACATCTGTAAGAATGTATATATACGTGCATATTAAAATATGTCAAAGAAACTGAGGCAATATATCAAAAGTACACAAATCCAGGTATGTAATACCAGGAGAATTTTTACATTAAAAAATCAAAAACATAAATTTGTTCTCATAGTAGTTTTGGGAGATTTGTGCTTTCTTAGCGAAAACCATGACCGCTCAGAGGGTTGACTCAGTAACTCTATTATATGAGGAAATAGAAATGGGAAATTATAGTAAAGGATGAAATCATAAATAATTGGGTAATTTACATAATAATAACTGCACATATCTTTGAAGAATAATTTTCTTTATGTATTTAGTTTCTTTCTTCAACGCGTTTCCTTTTCATTTTAGAATTTTTGGATTTAATTAAGGATTTCTGTTATTCTAAAAAACACTACATGCATTTAGAATGTACAGGAAAAGAGGCTAATTTTATATCTTTAATAATAAGAATATTCAGAAGAAATATGAAATTTATATGATAAAGGCCAGTTACAGAGCTGATTTGGCAGAATTTTTAGAATTGAAGGACTCACCGAACAACAAAATTTATAAATGGCAAAACTTTTAGAATTTAGAGCTGGCATTGGATGCATTTAGAAAGGCACTAGGCAACAGAATTTAGGATTCACAGAGATTGCATCAAGTGGGAAAATGCCTAGTGCCAGCTATGAGAATGGTGCATTAAGACATATTAGATTAATCTTTTAAATTGTAAGTTTTCAATTTCTTTATTAATAAAAAAATCCCTTTCTATAATGCCTGCCCATGTGATAAAATTACAAGCATTTTTGATATTTTCCATGCTCGTGTCTAGTGAAAAGTAGAGAAAATAAAGGGAAGATAAACATGTTAAGATTCTAGTATCAGAAGTAAAACATTTAAATATTATGTTTTCATTGTTCTTCCGGACGTTCTCCGAAATGTAAGAAATTCATTGCAAACTTTCTGTAAAATACATCCATTACGCGTTGATACCATGGAGACATTTTTCATTTTGTCACATATTTCTCGAATCTTCTAGAATCGTGGCTCTATAAATCTTGCTTTCAAATCTTTCTAAACTTTCCAAGCTGTAATTTCTTGAATCACTAGACACAAGCATGGAAAACATCAAAAATGCTAAAATTCTAAAAAAAAATTATCCCTACAAATTTTGTAACAGCAAAAGGCCAGAAATAGTTTGGAAAAAAAGGTACTCTTCCGTTTTGAGGGCTGCAAAAAAAAAATTGCAGCGAAAATGTATACGCAAAAGCGCCAAATCTAGCAAACACGCCCATTTAACAGCACGCCAAATGTAGCGTACGCGCTGGTTTCAGCTTGCGTAAGTTTATATAGTTCTATATTTCTTAAGACGCCATTGAAATACTAGTTTAATTTTTAAATCCTTTTTTGATTTAAAATCCTTTTTTGATATCCTATGGATTTAACAATTTGGAAATTGCCCATGATGAAAAGTCGGCAATAGAATTTTGGGTAAAGAACAGAATCACTCACTGCTTGACGCGTTTTTAAGAATTGCACATACTCGGTATCCATGTGCACATCGACCTATTTTCACTTTAAAAAAAATCACAGAATTGCACAAAAATGGCACTGCGCACCCTCTTGACTTTATCTATGTACACATCACACATCGACCTATTTTCATTTAAAAAGTAAAATGAAATTGACAAAAATCCAATTGTTTTTACCCTTGTAAAAAGCGGCAAACAAATAAGTGAGGGATTCTGCATTTCTGAATTCCGATTCTGAATATTTTCAAAGAAAAGACATCATTCATTATAGAAAATTATGCTTGAACAACCAACATGATGAAATTATGCTTTAGCGATAAGTCGGTAGCGAAATAGCGATGCAGGCATCCATTCAGTTATGTTTAGCAATTTTTATATAAATTATAATAATGACCTGAAATAGTTATTTACTCTTATGCTTCCATTCAGTCATGTTTAGCCTTTTTCATATAAATTATAATAATAAAAAAGTATTATATGAAATTAACCTTTCATCTAAATTAAAACATCAATCTTGGTTATTTACTATTATACTTCCTTTCTTGCCGCAATTATTAGGGTTGCCGCAATTATTTTTGGCAGCATTGGCATCAACAATAGTTTGGCGATTTTTTACGGCCCTCGAAACCAAATAGTACCGAAAAAAAAAAAAGGGGGGAGGGAAAAAGTGTAAAATTAATTTTTTATAGAGAAAAATTGATGCATATTCTAAGAATTCTAAATACTACAAGACAATTACACGGGAAAAACTCTT